TTCCAGCAAGGACAGGCAAGGCTTCTGCACAGGTGTGAGGCTGCACAGTGCTCCCTTCTCAGTGAGCTCTGCTGAGAGTGGGGGGAGAAGCAGGAGACTGCCACATTCTCCAGCGCTTCCCCCAGGGGTGGGCACCCCTGGACAGGGTGGCCCCTGGGCAGAGTGGGCACAGCTGCTGTACAGGCCAGCCTGCTTGGACTTACAGTCCCCAGAGTTGCAGACACTGAAGGCACACACAGCAGGAGGCGGCTGGCCTCCCTGCCCTACTCCATGGTCCTATGCCAGGGAGGCAGCCAGGCTTGGGGAGAGAACTGGGACTCAGGGCTTCAGCTCCGTACTCGGGCCCAGGGACACCTGGAATGTGCTGGTGACTCTCTGTGCCTCAGTCTCCCTGCCTGCAAAACAGACATGGCCTCCGCACCGAGGACAGCTAGGAGAGCAGCAGTGAAGAGTGCCACCCTTGGTGGTGGCTCCCTGGTCCTGGGTAGCCTTCTCTTTGCCTAGCCTCTGCGTGTCTGACCAAGGACAGCTCATGCCCTGGGAACAGGCCAGCTGCCGCCTGCCCTCCCGTTCTGCTGCCTGCAGCAGGCTCACCCCACGGGCCCCTCTCACATGCCTGAACAGTCTTCCTCTCTCCCAGGGCTGCCCGGTTCACTCAAGAAAAATACTTTTCTTCCTCTCCCTCAGCCCTCATTTCTTTGTTCCTTTCTGGGATGGAGGGGGCACTATCCGCCTGGAGCATGGCATCGGCGGAGAGTTCTCCATTTCCTGGGATGAGCTGCAGAGCGTCTCTGGGCCTTCACCCCCACCCTGGCCCATCAGGCCTCCCACTTCCCAGCCAGAGCGCGGCTGGTGCACTTTGGGGAGAAGCAGGTTTTCACCCCGCTGTGCGGTGTTTCTGGAGCACCTCTGGCCACAGTGCTGTTCTCCACGGCGAGTTGGGACACTCTAGTCCCACAACAGCTTCAGGTGGCTGCAGTTTCGAGCCGGACACCGCCAAAGTAGCCTTGGTGGGTGGGGGAGGCGGGCTGTGTTATGGGCCAAGTCCTCTCTGAATTCATGGGTGAAATCCGAAGCTCTGGTACCGTAGAATTCTTTTTTTGTTTTTTAAATAATTTTTTTTTTTTTAGTTTTACGTGGACACAATACCTTTATTTTATTTTTTTTTGGTGCTGAGGATTGAACCCAGGGCGTCGAAAGCTTGCAAGGCAAGCTCTCTACCAGTGAGCCCATGTCCCCAGCCCTTTTAAAATTTTTTTTTCTTAATTTTATTTATTTTTATGTGGTGCTAAGGATCGAATGCAGGTCTTCACATGTACTAGGCGAGCACTCTACTGCTGAATCACAACCCCAGCCCCCTTTTTAAATTTTTTGAGACAGGATCTCACTAAGTTGCTAAGGCTGGCCTCCAACTCACAATCCTCCTGCCTCAGCCTTCCGAGTTGCTGGGATTACAGGTGTGTCCACTGAACCCAGTGGTTCCTATTTCTTCTGCTCCTTTATGTTTCTGTCTGAAGCCTTACCTTCCTATCCAACTCCTTGGGCTGCTGTTGGCTGCTTGGGGTTCTTCTTGCCACCCTTGTGGCTGGACCTGGTACCTGCCGCTGCTTCCTCAGACCATGTTTCTAATCCAGAAATGGAGTTCCTGGCCCTATCCCCTCTTCCTACCCCTTGAAGCGGCCCACGGATGACTCCTAGTCAGGGAGCAAATTTCCCAAGTCTCCTGCCAGTGTGTCTCTCAGGAGGGGCTCAGATGGGTGGGGGAGGGCACCTGCCTGGCCGTCCCCAGGCCCAGCGAGAAGGGTGAGATGCAGGAAGGGTGAGAGAAGGGTGACTTGCAGGCTGAACAGCAAGCAGCTCCGCACTCCTCTGCCGGGCACATGTGTAACCAGAGCAAAGACCAGCCTCAAGGTGTCCCAGGAAGAAAGACCAAAGTCAGGTCCCAGGTCACCTCCCCGGGCAGCCTTGGAAAATGCTGAGTTGTACGTTTTCCTTACCTTTGTTCTAAGGGGAACCAAAGGGCAATTATGTCCCCCACACGGAGAACAGCACCTACAGCCTCACCTACCAGGGCCCCCGGGCTCTGCTCCCACACCCTCCCCCTACTCCCGCCCAAGCATGTGGCTCCTCTGGCGGTGGCCAGCTCTTGAAGGAGCTTAGACGCCATCCCTGGGGTAGGGTGGACGACCTGGGTGAGGCCACCTCTCCCCATGCACAGGGAGCCAGAGCGATCAAGAGGTTGCTCAAAGTTACAGAGCCGGGAAGGAGTCATCAGTGTCCAGGGCCTGCTCGGCCACGGGCTTCCCAATGCCTCCAGGAGCCATCTGTCACCAGAAAGTGACGTTCAGCAATCAGGATGGGGACTAGATCCAGACTGTAGCATGCTGTTACCATTTCTCGGGTCACGTCAGGCAATTCTCCCCCAGGGTGACGTGGCATGGGACTGTGTAACACACGACACGGAGGCCATCTCACCTCCCTGTTTGGAAATGTCTTTCCAGTGACCTCCGGACCACAGGAAAATCCCCATGTGCTCCACTTCAGGAAACTGGTCATCTGGAGTTCATCTAAGCAGCTGCCCCCAGCGGGGGCCGAGCATGTCTCCCCACAGATCGGCCCCCCACCCCGTGTCCTTTGCACATCTCTGATCATGTCTTTGGGACACATTTCTAGAAGGGGACTTTTTGGTCCGTATTTCTCTAGCTTGTCCTGCAGGACAACGGTGCAGATTTCCTTTTTTCAAGGCGAGAGGCAGATCCCACAGCTGGGCCCAGGGCTGCTCTGAGAGGAGGGAAGTGCTCTGGGTCACAGCTCCTCTGCAGGCCCAGGCTGTTCCTGGCCCGCCTGGGGACATCTTTTCTTTGAAGATGATCTCAATCCAGAGCTGCTTCTGGCTTCCAGGAAAGCCTGAGCATTCCATCCCCGGAGCTTGTTAATGAGCAGCGCTGGGAGCCACAGCAGACGCCAGCTTCTGGTTCCAGGCTGAGTCCCTGCTCCCAGCTGCTTTGGGATCCTCAGACTTCCAGCCAACTTTCCCCCTAGGATTTCCATAATGAAGCTGGGGAGAAGGGGCCATTTATTCAGCTCAGGACACAGATAAAGCTAGTCAGTCTTATCCTTCAAATTAAAACTCTCATTGCACCGGGCACAGAGGCACACGCCTGTAATCCCAGCGGCTCGGGAGACCGAGGCAGGTGGATCACGAGTTCAAAGCCAGCCTCAGCAACAGTGAGACACTAAGCGACTCAGTGAGACCCTGTCTCTAAATAAAATGCAAAATAGGGCTGGGGATGGGGGCTCGGTGGGAGTGCCTCTGAGTTCCTGGGTACCAAAACAAACAAACAAAAACCCCCACAAAAACTCTCATTGCCTTCCCAGGCCTCCCAGTGTGGCCAGGTGGGTGGGGAGTTCAAGGTGAGGTCAGAAGCTGGGGGGCACCATTTCGGGGCCCCTCTTGGCCTTCACCCATCCTGCATGGTAGGGTTTCTTGGGGACTTTTATTTGAGAAAAGGCTCCCTTGGGTAAGTCAGGCAACAACTTCAACTCTTCCACTTCTGTGAAATGGGACCAAGACAAGCCGTCGCCACGGCTGCTCCGGGGAGTTTGTGAACACAGCTCCCTCGCCTGCTCCTGGCTCACGCACACACTATTCTATTCTTGTTGCTGTGTTTATTATTTCCAATGCTAAAAGCAGGGGCTGTGGGGTGGTGTCCACATGGCACCGTCACCGCCACCGGAGCCTCAGACACCGCCTCCGTGACGAGCCCCTGAAGACCCCACCTGTCAGAGGAGACGCGTCTGCCCAGAGTGACTTCCTCAGGCTCTCATCCCAGGGACAGGTCATTTCTGTCCAGAAATAAGGACACTCCTTCGGTTCAGAAGATGGTTTTATTCAGAAGCTACACATGTACACAAACACAGCTAAGGGGGGACCTGGGATGCAGGTGGGGACATTGTGGGTTGCATGCATGCTAGAGGCCCAAGCGTGGCACTTCCCAGGGACAAGTCAGCGCTGTCCCTTCTTCCCTCCCGGAGGCTCGAGGTGAATCACCAGCACGATTACTCTCAAGTCCTGTGGGCACCTCTTTTTTTTTTTTTTAATCTTAATCTTATTTCTTTACTTTGATGCGGTGCTGAGGGTGGAACCCAGGACCTTGCACGTGATAGGCGAGCGCTGTCCCGCTGAGCCGCCGCCCAGCCCTGTGGGCTCCTCCTGTGCGAGGAGGTCACCCCGAGCTCCCCTCCCTCCCCAGCCCCCCACGCTTGGCAGGCGGCCCAGGCCGCCTACACGATGCCCTCGGTGCGCTTGCTCCTCCAGACCACCAGCGCCGTCATCAGCAGGGTCACCAGGATGGGCAGCACGATGAAGGGACAGAGGATGCCCCTGGCTGGGTCCTGCACGGACCTGCCGGAGATGGCGCAGAGCCTGAAGTAGTGGCGGTGGATCGCCACGAAGAACCTGTCCACCTCCGGGTTGGGCCAGAAGCAGTCCAGGTTCGCGGCCGCGGCCTTGGTGCACTCAGTGAGCTCCCCGTAGCTCCTGTGGAGGCAAAAGGAGGCCATCAGGGCACCCCGCTGGGCTCAGTCCCGAAGCCCAGGCTCTGAGGCAGTGGCCCTGGCTTTAGGAGGTGAGGGTCCTGCACCAGCAGACTGCTGGGCACACCACCAGAGGACACGAGCTGCCCGCCACTCCCGGGGCTGTGGGCTCTGTGCCGTGGTAGGACCCGTTCACACCCTGACACGGCCGCCTGCCAGGTCCCTGCTGAGCCACTCACCCCACGAGTGGCAGTGACGGTGGGTAACTGAGCCAGTTTCTTCCTGTCAGGATCTGGGGTGCCCACAAGGATTTGAGGTGCAGCGAAGTTAACCACAGCAACAGAACCCCAAACCCAGCATGGCTCCAGAGGAGATGGACTCCCATCCCACACCACCAGCCCACCCGAAGGGGTGTGCCCATCTCCAGATGCCAGTGACATCTGCCTGTCCCTTCTGTTCCACAGGTGGCGCTCAGCATTCAAGTGGAAGTTACCCAGGGTTTTGTTCAGGAACAAAGAACAACCAACGTGTTGCCAAGAGAAAAAATGATCAACAGAATCAGACTTGGAGGTGACTGGGGGCGAGTGTCAGACAATGCGGCCACTGGCCTGGCCTCTAGTGCGGTGGTGTGGGAGACAAAGAGCCTGGCAGGAGGTCCTGAGGTCATGCTGGGCTGTCCTCGGGAGTGAGTGACGTGGTCCTCACCAGGTGGTGGCCACAGAAGCCCGCTCCCCTCTGGCCAGCCTCCAGCTTCCTGCCTGGGGACGGGATCTCTTGGACCTGGACATGCCCCTGTGGTTGCCATTTGTCATGAGGACCTCGTCAGAGCCCATGCCATGCCATTTGGACTTTTAGCCTCCAAAATGTGGGCTAAATAAACCTGTTTTCTTCATGAGTAGTTTGCTTCAGGTGTTTTGTTATCGTGATGACAACAGATTAATGTAGGCAGGAAATTTAAAATGATTAGTATGATAAAGAGTCTAGCAGAAAGGTAGACAATGTGCGTGAACGGGTGGGGAATTTCAGCAGAGATGGAAACTCTAAGACAAGTAAAAGAAAATCACTAGAAACAGAAAGCAGCATATCAGAGATGATTCCTTCTTATGGGCTCATCAGCAGAAGGAGTCAGTGAAATTGAAGATAGATTGGTAGGAATTACCCAAATGGAAACACAGGGAAGAAGAAGGGGTGGAAACCAAAGCAGAGCATCCAAGAACCTTGGTAACGTAATACCACCACACATGATGCCAACTCTCCGGCAGATCTGTCCCAGGGGGAGGAGCAAAGGGAGTACAAGAAAGATTTGGTGAGACAACAGCTGAGACCATCCCCCAAATAAGGAAAAACATCACATCATACCCCCAAGAAGTTTAGGGAAGCACAGACAGGCCCGAAAAACAGCACAGCAACACCAAACAACCATACAGACATTATCAAAGTCACATGGCCTATACCAGAGAAAGAAGTCTGGGGGGGTCCTCCAAACGGGTCAGAGCCGACTTCTTATCAGAGGCTGGGCAAGCCGGGAGACTTCCTTAAACAGAATCCTATACCCAGCAAAATACCTTCCAAATAGGAGGTTGAAATAAAGACTTTTTCAGAAGAAACTGAGTTTATTGACAGGAATGTTAAAGAAAACCCAGAACTCGGTCAAAAGAATGTACCAGAAAGTTTCAGATTCATTCAAAGAAGTGAAGGGCTCTGGAAGTGGCAAACATGGAAGGTAAGTCAAGTCACTTTTTCTGATTTTTAACCTAGAAAAGTTTGTGACTGGAGCAAGGCCGTGCAGCAAATACGGGGAGGCCCCAGGAGCGCTTTAGGGGGCCATCTGAGGAAAGTGGGGGGCCTCGCAGCATCCCAGCCCCTCTACCCCGCCCACACGTGGCCTCTGAGCTGTGGGGCTTCTCTCTCACCCCAGTGGCCTCCTGGTGCAACTCCGGAGCACGGGCCTCTTGCAGCCCCCGAGTGGCCATGTGGAGGGAGGGACGAGGCAGACAGTGGGGACTGGTCCCCTCTGCTCGCCGGCATGGGGTGCATGGTCTTTCCCAGAGAGCAAGGACTCAGGCTTCAAGTAGAAAACAGAAGTGGAAGAAGCCACAGAAGTTGTGACAGGCCGGATCTCGTGAGGAAGCAGTGACTCAGTGCGTGCCCAGTGCCTGGACACCACAAGCTCCAGAGTGTAGGTGCCACTGCTGGAGGTCCAGTCCACCCTGGGAGCTGGCCGTCAGACCGACACACACACTGGTCTGAATGACTGTCCTCTGTCCCCACCTGGGATCCACAAACCCACAGGCAGTTTCTGGTGACATGACTGAGAACACTGAGCCCGTCCTCTGTGGCCTGAGGAGTGGAGCTGGGACACCTCCACGGGAGGGGGCGCCTCTGGGCTGGCCAACCTGAGCAGGAAGGAGCCCGACTCCGGAAGCCACCTCGCCATGGCTCCACAGCGAGCCACGCTGAGGCTGAGCCCGTGGCAGGCTATTCCGGGACCAGGCGCTCTCTCCTGGATGGGCTGGTGTAGAGTGAAGCCATGTACCGCTAAAAATATCTCCAGTGTGCGGGTGGCTGCCCACTTCATCCTGTTTATTTATACAAAAGTGACAGCTGAGGCTTTCAATGCTGTTGTGAGTTCTGTCAGTAAAGACGAGATGAAAGAATTCCACCCCCCGCCCCAGGGCGGACATTCTGCTCTAAAGCACACAGCCTGGCTCAAGACCCAAAATAGTCCTGAAAAGTCCTCTGGCTTTGACTCTGCATCTTCAGTTCTCGTGTCACTGAATAATTACCCTTTTTTGGCTAGGATTGTTATTCTGGGCCACAGAGCAAATTCAGCTTGGAATGTTCCTGAATTCTATGGTGGGAGTTTCCCAAGCCTCTAGGTCCCAGCGCAAGGCTCCGGAACCATGGTGCATGGCTGCGCACTTGTTGACAAGATGGTACTCACTCACGTCCACAGGTGCGCCACCTGCTCTGGGGAAACCCAAGGCTGCCGCTGTGCCCACAACCCCCCGCTGCCCTCATACCGGGTGTGTGGGCCTGGGCCCTGCTGCCCACGGCCTAGGTTCAAGTCCCCGCTCCATCTCTCATCCTGAGGTACCCGGGGACCCATCTCACCTGTTCCCACCTGGGTCTGCTTACATTAAGAGCCAGGCCTGGGACCCACTTCCAGGTGACCCACTTGAGGAGCCTATCAGAATGCCAACTAACAGGGGCATTTGGATGGGGAGGGCAGGGAGGGAATTTGGGAAACAGAGTGAGGCCTGTGAGGTGTCTGGCTGGGTCTCTCTCTGGAAATAGAAATGGCTAATAATCATCTGAAAAAATATTTAGCTCTGTTAATAAGAAAAAAATTAAAAAGCAAACATTAGTATGATGTTTCTCTCAAAAACAAGAGGTATGGCTCTTTCTGGGAATTATCCTAAGAGAAACATTTGAAATGTAGACAAAAGTAAAGAAAGAAGGTGCTCTCTGCAGGGGTATGTTATGCAAAACTGCAAACAAGGGAGTGGCCAAGCAGGCTGAGGCTCTCTTGGGTAGCTACCATAGGAGAAATTCCAGATGTGGGCAAATATTTATGTTATGATGCTGAACAAAGCAGCAACTGATTAGCCCAATTACACAAGCCCAGGTGGCCTTGTGGGAGGAGGGGACATGCCCTTCAGGATATCTCGAACCACCAGAATGACAGTGATTTATAGGGCTGTGGTTCTCTTACGTACTGTTTTGGATTTTCCAAGTTCTCTACAGTAAGCGTACATGTTTACTGGTGAATCATAGTTGTACATATTGAGGGGATTTGTGTCACCTACTCATATATGCATGCAGTAAGACAGCATCATTTGGCCAATCTCACTCCCCCCACGTCCCCTCTCCTTCCCTCCTCCTGCCCTACTGATCTCCCTTTGATTCTTAGGAGATCCACCCCACCTTTCTTTCTTTTTTTTTCCTCTCTAGCTTTTGCCTAAGAGAGAAAACATACGACCCTTGACCTTCTGAGTTTGACTTATTTCACTGAACATAATGGTGTCTAGTTTCATCAGTTTTCCTGCAAACACCATGATTCCATTTTTCTTACGGCTGAATAAAACTCTACGTGTATACAGACCACATTTTCTTTATCCACTTATCTGCTGATGGACAATGGGGCTGAGTCCCCAGTCTGGCTCCTGGGAATCGAGCTGCTACAGACATGGTGTGCGTGTGTCGCTGCATTGTGATCACTGTAGTTCTTCAGGGTAAACACTGAGGAGTGGTCCAGCTGGGTCCCGGGTGGTTCCTTGCCTATTTTGAGGGATCTCCTTACTGATATCCATGGGGCTGTGTAAAGAGTATTCTTTTCCTCCACGCCCTCTCTAGCATTGAGCATGATTCGTATCTTGATGGCTGCCACGCTGATTGGTGTGAGATGAAATCTCAGTGCAGTTTTGATTTGCATTTCCTTAATTGCTAATGAGCACACATTATTTTTTAATATACAATTCTATAAAAGAGCTTATTTTAGGAAGAATGACCACAGAAACTGAATGATGAGGTCACTGGTTTTGCAGCCACATGCTTCATTGCTGTGATAGCAGGAAGCAGTGGTGGCACATGGGCAGCCCCTCCCACTGGGAGGTGGCCACCTCCTTTCCAGAGGTCCTTGAGGTCTCAGTTGCCTCCTGAAAGGAATGGGGTGCCCGCAGTGCCCTGGGCAGGATGCTGTGGGTGAACTTACAACAGCAAGCCTGGTGCCCCCGCTGTGTCAGGGCCAGGCCACTAGGTGGCGTTACCTCCCTGGGGGCCTCCTCATTCTCCTCCCTGTCCCTCCCTCCTCCTGCTGCCCCAGCTCCCCTTCTCCCTAGGCTCTTGCTCCTGCAGATACCTTCCCTCTTTGCCCTGGGCTGTGACACCCACCACTAGGGACCCTCACCCCCAGCTGGAGCCTTGGTGGACGCTCCTCCTGCCCCTTTGCTGGCTAGTCCTCCGAGGACCACATTTGCCTTCCAAAGGGCAGGAGAACCGAGACCTGCTGACACTGGTCGGCCCTGTTCCCTACAGACAAAGAGAGCCTGGAGAGGTGACCTCGGAGGACCTGGGGGTCAGTGCACAACAGGACTGGCCCAGGTTTCAATCCACCTCCAGACAGGCCACACTTCCCTTGTTCCAGAGAACCCCCTCCCACTGAGGCATCCTGGCACCTGTTCTCCCTTCCCCCGACTCCAGGCCCGGCTTCTGTCACCTCCCTCCACCACTCCTGCTCCGACAGCTCCAAGCTGGGAAGGCATCGGGTGCCTCTGCCCAGGAGGGCGGAAGCAGGAGGTCTCCAAGTCCATCCCTGGCTCCTCATGCAGCTGGCTCTGGCACAGTCAGGCTCCAGAGCTGCCAAGGCAGGCTCCCTGCAGAGAGGCCCCTGGGAGGGCGGGCACGATGCCACCTCTGAGAACAGGCCCAGGCAGAACCTGGCTCCTGGGGCTACAAGATGAAGTGCAGTTTTAAAATTCAGGGGGCATCTGAGCAAAGTCACAGGCTGTCCTGTGCTGGCCCCGCTTCCAGGCCCAGGCAGGGGGCTGCTCCGTACCTAGTGATTGTGGTCTGAGAACACAGGACTTGGTGGATGATCACTGAGCTGTCTATTGAAGGCCAGGTACATGGGACCCCTGTGCCCTCTGTAACCCCCCCAAGAAGTCTCCTCAGGCTCCAGAGGGGATTCCAGGTCTAGGGGTGCAGCCAACCCTGGGCCCAGCTGCAGGGCTGGGTGTGGGGCTGCGACTGTACTCAGGCCTGCCTGGGCCCTGCCTGGGCCCAGGGCTGCTACACTTCTGGGGGCTGACGTGTGCACAAGTCCCAGGATCAGGCCTGACAGCCGGGATGCTATATTTGAACACTATCACCCTGGCGACAATGTCCTTGTGAAGCAACACTGGCGGCTGGAAAGGGCTTTTCCCTCCTGTCTTCCCTCGGGCTCAGCATCCAGCTGGTCATCCCAGAGCTTGGCTCTCTGCTCCCTGCCTCTCTGAAGCTGATGGACTCACAGTGACCCTTGGCAGGGCTTCTGGAGGCCTTGAGTAACACGCCCTATTCTCTGCTAGTTGGGTCCCCTGCACTGGGTTGGCCCCACCACAGGTCTCATCAACTCGCTGCCCCATCTAGGTGGCCCCAGTACCACCCCTGCCCCTCTGCTCCAATCCAACCCTGTTTGGAGCTGGGACAACACTGAGTACTGGGGGAAGGGAAGGCCTGAGAACATTCTACACCACAGAACACCTGGTGTCACGGGACTCTGAATCTCTGTGTTTTCATCTTAAATGGGCAGCTGCCTCTGGCTCACAGCCATGGTGTGACGAGAACCCCGGGGCTACCTGCCTCCCCTCCTAGCATATCTTTTTTTTTTTTAAATTTTTTTTAGTTGTAGATGAACACACAGTATCTTTATCTATTTCTATGTGGATCCAACCCAGTGCCTCACACATGCAAAGCAGGTGCTTCACCACTGAGCTACAGGCCCCGCCCCGTCTCCTAGCATATCTTGCTGTTGCTGGTCTTGCCACCGACTCTGGACGGAAGCCAACATGGCAGCCAGTGCTCGGCCTCCCATTTCCCCCCCAGTGGAGAGGCAGAGGCCATTCACATATGGGACTCAGCACAGGGCCTGGCCCTGAGTGAGCCGTCAAAGTGGCCCAGGATAGAAATGCTAGAAATGAGCAGGACGCCACACAGACGTGAGGGGCACACAAAGTGGCCTACCTGGCCCTGCTCCAAGGACAGAAACCCAGTCAGGGAGCTGGACTACCCCCCAGGGACAGGGTGTGGGGCAGGAGCTGCCAAAGGCCTGAGGCAGGAACCCACGGGTACCCACTGCCCTGCTTGCTGAGGAACCCCCTCCTCTTGGCTGAGGCCAGCTGGGGGATCAAGGGCAGAGGGAGAGCTGGGAGAGGCAGGAAGTGACTCAAGGTTAAAGCCACCAGAGGTGGGGGCACTGGCTGTGGCTTCTTGGTGCCCTGATGGCTTCCTGTCCTGTCCTCACCCGAGGCAGGAGGCCACACCAATAGGCAGGGCAGGCTGACACCAGTTACACCTGGAGAGGCCAATCTCCACCTGCTGCTGGGGTGGGCCCCGAGGAGGTGAAGGGTTCTGCTACGGTACTCAGGAGAGCAGACAGTCCTGTTCTGCTGGGTCCTGGGTGGCCAGCACCACTGGCCATGTCTGCCAAGTTCCCAGCAAGTAACTGCTGAGCTAGATCTTGCTTCTGAAGCCCCAGTGACCTCACTCAACTTGTCAAAGGAGAACCACGGTCATACAGGAGTGGGACAGGCCACCCCTGTTCCCAGGACTGGCAGCACTTTGTCTCACCTCCTGTGAACAAACATCTATTGGTTCAGACTCTGAAGGTGCTGACACAGCAAGGACCCCAACACCCTAGCAAGAGAGAAGCTTCTAGCCAACCCAGGGGCTTCTCCACCATTCAAAGGCCTCCTGGACATAGGTCTGGGCCATGGCAGCCCAGTGGACGAGGACACTTGGTCATAAATGTGGTGGCCTCTACAGGGTTAGGGTTAGGAGGGTATAGGCACTGGCATTGCCCTCAACTATATTCCCCGGTGGCCCTGGGAGCTGCCTAAGGGCCTTGCACAGGTACTCCCTACCCCACGGGTGCTGGGCTCCATGCCCTGTCCTGCTATTGTCCCTTTTGGGTCCCTGTTTCTGGCCTGGATCTCCTGTGCCCTGGCTGAGGGCCTGTTTCTAGGCGGCAGCTCCCTGTCCTCTCTGGTGCCCTGGGTGGAGCCGGCTGCAGCGCTCCCTCCTCCCAGGCCTGCCAACCTGGCCCCCAGGCCACTCAGCCACCACACTCATGAAGATCCCTGCCCAAGCCCCCATCCCAACGCCGCCCCTGCATCTCCCACCTTCTCCTGTGTAACCACCCTGGGTTTCAGGAGATTCGGCCTCTTGGGAAAGAGGTTAATATGTGCATTAGGCTTGGAGTAAAGGAAATGTAATTCACCATAGTATGATTAGTGCCAATGCCCATTGCAACACCCTAACCAGGAAGTGCTTTAGAAAGAGGAGAAGGCCAGGGGCAAAAATCCGATTATCCAGGGAGTTAAAATACAGACAATGTATCCAGGGAGAGGACGCTCCTTCCAGGTAACAGTGTGGGAAAAGTAGAGTCACCTCCCAGCACCTAGGTGGGGAGGGAGGAAGGTTCTGGAGGGACCAGAAGCAGTGTCCTGGGCTGGAGGCATGACGAGAATTTGTGGTCCCACTGAGGACCAAAGCTGGGAACTCCATGCATGCTAAGTCCCCCTGGGTTTACTGAAGCCACCGTGGAATGAGTCATGTGAACATTTTAAACAGAAAACCACACTGGCAAGCATGTCAGAAAGAAAAGGAGGTCACATTTTTAAAAGATTTGTATTTCTACATAAAAACATAAGCTCCTGGAATCATTGTGGCATGGTGGAGCCCACCTGTGGCCCCAGCTGTTTGGCCACTGAGGCAGGAAGATCACTTGAGCCCGAGTTTGAGATTAACCTGGGCAACAAAATGAGATATCTCCTCAAAAAGCAAAACCCAGAGACAAGGAAATGCAGGAGCTCCAGAGAACAGGGCTGCTCCCTGGAGGTCCATCACCCACCCAGCTGTCCCTCGCGTACCCAGGCAGCAGAGCTCACGAGAAATCTGAGCTCCGTGGAGGCATTAATCATGCGGCTTATTTCTAGGACCTACTTCATATAATGGCCTGAATTTAAAAGATTCATGGAAAAGGGAGTGATGATGTTAAAAAGAAATGCAAAAACACGGCTGAGCTCACGACCTATTTGTGAAGACGAGTGAACAAAAGCCCTTTCAGAGCCAGGTGGTCACTGTGAAAGTGTGCAGACAGTGTGGCCTGGAGACACACACACAGCGTGAGAATGAAGGCCGGACTGAAGCGAGGGCAGAGAGAAGAGGCAGGCTCTAGGACCTTACCCGTAATGGTGAGGAGAGGGCGTGGAGGGAGCCCAGACCCAGGGACTCCTTCTAGAGGGGCCAGTGCTTGTGGCTTGTCACTGGGGAAAGCCAGGCCTGGGAACACCACTTGTTCCCACTGCAGCTGGAGGGTGGAAACAGCTCGCCAATAT